GGTTTGGGTCGCTATAGTTGTGGAAGGGTCGCATTGGGTAATTTTTAGTCACTATAAAGGGCGCGTGAAAGGCGTGAAGTAATTGATTTTGGTCTTTGTGATATCTGATAGTAGTCGCTACGAGTTGTGGTCATTGAGGGGCTTTGGGTGGAAGAGCAATGCCTAGTTATCGGTAAAAGGGGTTGACGAATTGAGGTGATGATTGACATCTTTGAATGTTTTATTGTCACTAACTGTATTTTGTAAGTGAAGGGGTGATAATTAGAGATAAAGTATGTGTGGTGGATGGGGTCACTAATGTATTTGTGACGACCAGTGACATCACCGTGTTGAGGTCATGGCGGAAAGATACCTTAACGGCAGCGGTATGTAGAGTCATTATTGAATACAAGTTATTTGGTTTTGGGTTTTTTATTTTCTCTAAAAATCGAACCGAACCAAATAAATCAGACTTTTAAAAATAATCTATTTTATTTATTAATCATTAAGTAAATTTGTTTTAGTTCTCCATTAATTCTTAATTCATAAAAGTTAATGTCCGATACTAGATTTATTATGACTTTTAAGATATAGATATTTGATATGTATTTTTTAATTAAGTGAAACACTTGTAAGTACACTTTAGTCTCTTGCTATAATACTAATATATAGTAATTTAAATAGTACTTTACATGTTTGCATGTTGTTCCATGGCAATGATATCTAGTCTTTATATTATTAGTTACTTTTGTTCTTTATTACTCCGTACATAAGTTTTTTATGGCAGAGAAATGTGTATTCGTCTAAACTATACTTGAGACAACATCTATATTATTATTCATTTATCTTTAAACAACTAAACACGGAATGTGAAACTTTAGAACATATGTACATTTGTCTTAAAAATGTGGAATAAGGTACTTCAAGTTATTTACCATCAATAAAAAAAATCTTTTAGTAAAAAGGAAAATGAATCAATGTACACAATCTTTACCAATAAATATGTAATGTGATGCTACACTATATATATTTTGTTTATAAATTTATGCATTTGATTATTTTAAAATGTTTAATGAGATATAACTCTCTAATTTGTTGTTTGGAAGTGCATTTGTGTGTCCTCTCTTTTTTAATTATGTTTTTGTATCAAATTGTAATTCAATATTGTTTGATGTAGGTTTGCCTTTGTTTTTGTTTACCAATTATTATGTTTTTAAATCAAAAATAATATTCTGGCAAAAAATTGGAAAAATCGAAACTGAACCGAAATAAGTCAAACATAACAAACCGCGATTTCCTTTAAAAAAACCGTGATATCAAATTTTTAAAGATTAAACCGAATCAAACTTAAATTTTTACATTAATTTGGACATTTAGTTGTAGGCCATAACCAAATCGTTTGAACTGATTTCACCTCTAATTGCATGAAACCCATGTTAGGGAACATGGACTCTTACACTTTATTAATGGAAGACAAATTAATTAATTTAATTATGAGAAGTGATAGCAGATAACTTATTTTATAAAGAAAAATCAAACATAAGAGTTTAGAAAAACAAGTTAGTCTATATTAATGAAAAAATAACCAAGCATTCCTGCTCAACTGGTTGTGAGGTTACCGTGCCTAGTGGGTGTAGAATTCCAGCTCCCAGCAAGCCCACTCCATCCTCCATACCATTGGATGGTCTTCCATCTCCTGCCCACTAAAGAGAAGCATGGAGAGGCATGGAGAGGAGGCATGGGTTGTAGCATGGGTTGTAGCATGGGCACCAATGAATATGTCTCCAACCTTGCCTATAAATAGGATGCTCTTCCATTGTTCAAAGGCATCAAAAATTCAGAGTGAAAAGTAGTGAGAGTGATACACATAGAGTGGGGGTTGGTTTTTCGTAATAGTTGAGTGAGAGAGGTGTTCCTCCTATTGTAATTCTGTTCTGGTTATGAATATGAGAATTTTCCAATCCTAACAAGTGGTATCAGAGCCATGTTAATCCAGAAACCCAGATTTCTTCATTCTGCCTGAATTTTTGGTCAAAATTTTTTGTTCCAGAATCTTGTTTTGAGGCCACCATTAGAAAGCTCTCGTTATGAGGATTCCAAAAATAGATGTTTCGGAATTTTTTGACCACCGGAAGGCCTCCAAACGTCCGGTCAAAATTTCTCTCTCCTGCCAATTATTACCGCTGCAATACTGCAGTCCGCCGACAGACTCGTCTGAGGAGACGACCAGCCAGCACGCCACGTCATCGCCATGTCATCTCCACATCACGCCACGTCAGCGTCCAATCACTTGCCACGTCACCATCGACTGACCGGTTGGACCACCTGTCTTGGCCACGTCATCAGCCACGTCAGCGCCACGCCATTGCCACGTGGGTGCCACGTCATCAGCCTGGCTGGCCACTGGTTTTGGCCAGAACCGGTTTGATTCGATTCGTGGTTCAATACTCCGGTTCACGCTCTTCCCGGCCGGTTCTTGAAGAGGTGAGACCGGTACCCACCATTTTTGGCCATTCCGGATTCAACGGTGTGCTCCGTCTGGCCTAATTCAGCTTCCAAATTGAGGTACGGGAATAAGTGTACATTTTTATCATGGAAAAGTCATCTTCGGATACAATGATTGCGCTCACTTCTACAAATTACAACATGTGGAAACCTCGGATGGAGGATTTGCTAAATTTGAAAGATTTAGCAGATCCTCTTGATAATAATGGCGTCAAACCAGATAAAAAGACGGATGAAGAATGGGCTAAGATAAATAGAAAAACTGTCGCACAAATCCGACAGTGGATTGATCATAGCGTGTTCCATCATGTTTCTCAAGAGCAAAGTGCTCACACACTGTGGGAGAAACTTAGTAGCATGTACCAAGCAAAAACTGCTCGGAATAAAACGCTGCTGGTGAGACGGTTAGTGAACCACAAGTTATGCGGTGGCATTTCTGTGTCGGAACACACGAGTCAGTTCCAGGATCTTGTGAACCAATTGACACCAATTTCTGTGTCGGAACACACAAGTTATGCCATCGCAGGTCAACAGTGATTCAAGCCCAGCCGAGTCCTCCCTTGTCGCCAGTCTGATTCTCCTCGCGTCAAGCAAGGTTCCAGCTCAACGTCTATCTTTGTCCACCATTAACAGCCGCCTGAGACTTATTGGAGTATTGGGAGTGCTTGAGGTCATCTCTCTCGCAGAGGTCAGAGCTACCCGTCTCCTCCGATCCAGCAACATGAGGGCTCATCACTTTACCTCGCCGGCAGCGGCAACGGAGGGTATATCCTCCCTCCTCAACGCACAAGTGTCTGACGGCCCCACAAGTGATAGCGACGACTGCAATTGAAGCTCTACCTGCTAATCAATGGCTTCAAGGTGAGCTGGGCAGATGGAAGACAAGCCGGTGTGATGGACACAGGCTCGTGGCTTGAAGTCTTGGACAAATGAAGAGTTATACTCCGTACAAATCAGTTGATTGTTCACCTTTTGAGATCTGTGGCCTTAAAAGAATGCATACGTGGGATCACTTCATCCTTGTGGTGGCAGAACAAATAGTCAAATACGGAGTATATTCATAGTCAACAGGCTTTTTTCCACTTGAAATGGTCCTAAGGATCAACATATTATATTCATTTCAATGGGGCTGATATTTCAGCCCACTTCACAAAGATAAGTATCTTTAATTTTAATATTATTTATATTTATTTTAATCAATATTTTTTGTCGGGTTAATGTCACACTATCACGCACTTATGGTCAAATGCCTAGTAGAGTGTGGCTTGAGACCCATCACTAGGATGTAAAGCCCTGACCAAGATCAGGCACAAAGCCCCGACCAAGTCGGGCACAAAGACAAAGCCCCGACCAAGTCGGGCACGAAGACCGGTCTTAGCCATTCCTCAAGTGGCGACCGTTGCTTACGAATGGCTCACACATCCATTCTACTAAGCATTTTATCATTACATTAACAATTCACATCTCCACTTGTTTCAAGTGACGAACTCCCGATCGGGAACATAAATCCCAAGAAAAAAATTTATATGCATGTTAAATATGTAGGTACAAAGATGACTTTACTCATTTTCACCCCGTCTCCACTCGCCTCAAAGAGTGGGGACTAGGGGACTGAGGGGTCAGAGTTTCTAGATGAGCAGAAAATATCACGCACGAGCAGGAAAGAGAGTTGAGTCAGATGAAGACGGGTTGAGATAGACAAAAGTGATTATGCCGGAGGGGGCCTACCTTCCTTGTTTCATGTTGGGGGCACTAGGTGTACTCTTTTTTCCCTTTATTAGGATTTTTTCCCACTGGGTTTTTTCCTAGTAAAGGTTTTTAACGAAGCACCTCCCCATCATGGACAAGGGTGGTGGCCCCCCGGCCAGAGAGGAAGAAACCAAAGACAGAAGGACGTTGCAGCTACAGTTTGGACTACTCCCTTTCACCTCGAGTACTCTCGGCTCAGGGAGTGGGGGACTCCTGATGGAGTATATGGACTCCGACCCCCCGGTCTGCCGACTATTGGGCCTGGATAGCGGCCCACACACGTTTAGCGGATTCTTATTATTGTACATTATTATTATTCAGATGTTCTAGATTAGTTTTTTATGCTATTAGTTTATTTATGTAAATGGGTCTGTCAGACCCATATTAGAGGCCCAGACCCGGATTTTTCCTATATATACTCCCTTATGTAAGGCTTGTAAAGATAACTCATAGATAACCAATATTCATTCATAATAAACATATATCTTCTTCTCCATATTCTTTGTTCAATCTCTCCTGTTTATATACAGTGTGGGTATCAATTATCCAACATTATGAATAGGAGAATTTTCCAATCCTAACAGTGGGAGGTCTCGAGTTCGAAACCCGCTAGGCACATAAGGGTTTGAAACTCAACCCTGATTACTCCAGGACCCCCCCCCCCAAGCCCCCTCCCCCAGACCCCCCTGGAGTAAAAATAAAGGGGGGAAAATGCAGGAATATGATTGGAAGAAATTAAAATGGAATTTCAATCTCAAATAGTCAAATGGAAAGTAAACTAATTTCCAAAGAATAGGAATTTTGCTTCGGATTTTAGCAAAACGAAGGTGGGACGAGAAGGTGGTTTTGGTTTTTGTTTCTATCGGCAGACATCGAAGTGCAGGGGAGGGCGGTTGGTTTTGACTGCTGCAGCTTCGAATTTTGGGGCGAGAAACTCCCTGTTTAGTGGAGCTAGAGTTTGGGTGCGGCGGCTGAAGGCTTTGTCCGCAAGTTTTTTCCGTCCGCGGCAAGGGCCTAGGCGCAGCTGGAATTCGTTCAGCGTTGCGTCTAGTTTTGGCTTGGTGCGGCGATCTGGGTTTGTGTTGTCGGTGTTCCAGGCGGAGGTGCAAGGGACTGCAGGGTTGAAGATGGTGTGGCTGGGCATCTGTGGGAGGCCACCCGAGTTCAGCAATTCCGGAGAGGAACGAAGTACGTTGTGGTCAGTTAAAAAATGGTTATGTCTGACATTGTGAAATGGGTTAGTGTTTCTTTTCATATGTAGGACATGCAATATAGAATGTGGACACTAATGTATACGGAGAATCTAAGGTTAGACAGTAAATTGGTCAAAATTAAAGGTAGTAATAAGAATGTGTTCAAAGTTACAAAAGCAAGGGCAGTATGTAGTTAAAAGGGGATTATGTAGTTAGTAAACAGAAATATGCTGGAAAAAAAGGTGAGAGCAAAAAGAGTCCTTATATCTTTATCTTTATATTATATAGTATAAAGTAGCAGAGTTGCTATAGTTTTTGGACGCAAAATTCCCGCCTATTTTAATGGCATATTTGTAAATTACAATGTCACATAATAAAAGCATAATCCTGCCGCCCATTACTACATACTACGTATATGGTAAATTGGTAAGTAAGAGAAATTTTATTAATTAATTAATACATACAATAACAAATAATTGGTCTTCAGTTATCCATTTGGAGTATATAAATATGAGAGCATCTTCAAAGGTACAATGTGCACGGTGCACACGTGGCATGAAAGATGACCACATAAATATTAGTAAATAAATTATTTCTCTCCTTATTTGAATGATTTTATACAGTTTTGGTAAATTATTTTCCACAATGTCAAGGAGACCGTCTAATGTTGACATTGTTGTTGACATTGCAGGGAAAAACTTACTAAAATTATATAAAATCATTCAAATAAGGAGAGAAATAATTTGTTTGCTAATAATTATGTGGCTATCACTCATGACACATGTGCACTGTGAACATTATAGCATTGAAGATGCTCTGATATACTCCGTATATAACATTATCAATTTACCATATATATACAAACGTGCACTGCCAACTTCATCAAAAGTGTCGCCCAAACATATATTGATTGCAATATGGAAAGACAATTTAAGAGCATATGGAAATTAATTCTCATACTTAAAGTTTTACATAACCAATTAATTCGTTAAAGTTTGTAAAAAAGTTTATGAATACGTACTACTGCTACACTAGCTAATACAAATAAAAAATAAAAATAAAAAAATCTTTATATAATACTTCCATTACCACAAAAAGGTTTGCGAAATCAATTTTTTGGTCAATGACAATCAACTTTGATCAATTATACTTTTTAATACAAGATTATATAGAATATGAAAATTATATCAAAATATTCCTAATCGAAAATATTTTCAAGTATAAAATTTATAAACTATATACGAATATAATAATTATAATCATTGTCCAATATGATGAACCTTTTCGGGACCTTGGTAGTATACTAGTATTGATCTTTATATATTTTTTTTTTAGGAAAAGAAAAATTTTATTAAAAAAGGAGAATAGTACAAACGCTAATGAGTACTAGCCCACAGCTAAAGCAAAAAGGAAACAACTAGCTCTAAAAATCCAACACCATAGCACCACCCCTCGAATGAGAAGAGAAGCCCAAAAAGAAGATCCGCCAACAAGATGTCCCTAAAGATCAGTCTTCACAAACAAAAAACCCCAATAAGCAACTAGGAGCCCAACAAATATTGAAAAATGAACCCTACTTCTTCTGAGTCAATTTTTTTTCTTTAAGGCGAGTACTCCTTCTAGGAACCAATATAGAACTCGATGAACTCCACTTGGGATCCGCAATAGAGTAAGTAGGATCTGCCATACGGTCCAACAGTTCACGGTCGGTAAGAAGTCTTCTTATAGGCGTTGCTTCTAATTCCTCTCCTAATACATCCGAACTTGAAGGAAAGGATATCTGAAGAGGTGATACATCTTGAATATCCTCCATCTGAATATCTATATTCCTAGATTCCTCAATAGTCTCATTGAGTCCCATAGGCAAACCTGATTCAATACCCAACATATTTCCTGCACTAACATCTATCTCCTCATTTTTCTCCAAAGTCAAACCCTCTTGAATAATATCTTGTGACGCAAAATCCCTCGAGTACATATCAAAATTTAAACTTGCTCCAAGGCTACACAAATCCCTATCAAAGAGTAAAGAGGATATAGATTTTGATTCCTGGGAACGAGAGTCCACCAAATCTGAACAAAGAGTCCCAGAATCCTCAACCACCTCCTTCATTTCCCTTTCTAAAAGCTCACTATATCTGTCTTGTTGTTCAAGTAAAACTGAAGAAAAAGTTCTGAAACCATCTCCTTTCCATCCTTCAGGGATAATAAGTGTAATTCTCCTATCATTCCCCCAATCAACCAAACGCATAAAACCCCCAAACTGATTTTTTTCATAAGAAAGTTGAATTTTACGAAAGGGAGCAAAATCAAACCGAAAATATTTGCTTTCAACTTTAATTGTTTTGCTGCAAGTGTAAAACCCAGGAACTGAAATAAGTTTCTGCTGCACACCCCAAGAATACCCGTCTGAATCTACTGTACTGCTCAAACACTTTTCCCTTCCATTAATTGTTTTGTTCTGCCTCAGTTCCGAAGCCCCCTGCCGCGTATACTCCGCCGATTTATTTGCTGGAAACCAGACATGGCTTCTATTCAAGGCCGATCTTCCATTGAGTCGCCAATGCCCATCAGAACAGTGTGATGTTGTTCGTACCCGATCTGTTGCAAACCGCCTGTATGTCACCTGCCGTCGAGATGTTGGAGTCGCCCGCCATCGATTTGATGCAACCAGTGCTCGCCCTTCGCCTTTCACTGTCAATCTCGTTAGAGAAGGAAAGTCCTCGTTTGAGATCCGACGCAGATCTCTGCTCCTAGCCCTGTATCCCGAGGTTGTCAATCTTGTGTTTCAAATCTGTTCTCTCTGCCTGAAATCTGCATCGTCAATCTCCCATCGCCTCCATTCGCGTGGCGTTGCATCCCTCATCCCTCCACCTCTCATCCCAAGAAGGAATTCTAACAAATGTATTGATCTTTATATAATAACTAGTTTTTTACACGCGCGTTACGCGATTATACAAATGCCCAATGTGATTTTTTTGCCAGTTATATGTAGGCATGGTGCCCGGCCGGTCCCGGTTCTAAATAATTGAAGCCCGATACTGACCGGCATCTGCCCTGGTCCGTGTCCAAACAGTACCAGTCCCGGTTCAGCATCCACCCTCTAATTAAAAAATAAAAAAAATTTTAAAATATGTCCGTTGGGACCGGAACCAGGCCCGGGACTGGCTGGGCCAAAAAGGATCAGGCCCGGGCCCACCCCGTTTCTATGCCGGTCCGGTAGCGGTAGAACCCAAATCTACATGATTACTGCAAAAAAATTGGGTGGTTTAGTTACAGTATATAATTAGGCTTGTCCCTGGTTCCCGATGTAACCGGAATCGGGATGGGAAACGGGACATAGACGGTTTGGAACTACAATATAAAAATTGAGGAACCAGAACCGGAACCGATTGTAAGTTGTAGAATCTGCAGTTTTGTGTTCTATATTTTCCTTTCTTCAAGCAGTATGACCACATGTGAATAACTTTCTTGAGAGAGAAGAAAATTTTACTATTAGGGTGTAACATTGAGGAGTTCGAAGAAGTCTTAAATACTTTATGGTGTAAATAAACTGCCTTTTCAACTTGAATAAAATGCTTTGTAATAAGCTTAAAAACGGGAAAAAGAAATTCAAGAGTACAGTGTATTTGCAAATTGGAAGCAAGCCCTCGAGTGACTCTACTGTTCTCTCATACAAGATCTTCAGCTCTTATCTGATCTTCAACTCTAGCTCATATAGCATCCATTACCCTATAAACATATGGCTTAACCATTTAAAGTCATACTTGTTATAGGAAAACATCCATTAAGCAAACTCCTACATTTCAAAGAAGCAAAAAAGAATCATACGAAGTATTTTGTACTCGAACATAAGCGTTAGAGTTTTGATATAAAAATAATTAATAATATTATTAATGATATTAGTAATGATATTAGTAATGAATAATGATATTAGTAATGAATAATGATATTAATGATATCATTAATGATATCATTAATGATATCATTAATAATGATATTAGTAATGAATAATGATAGGCAACACAAATTTAATTAATAACATTCCTGTTTAAGAAAACAGAAACTATGTGTCCACAATTGCGTAGGGATCCATGCAAATAGAGATGACAGAAATGATAAAGTTACTTTATAATGGAGATACAAACCTCAACAAACTCTTCTTTTTGTTTAATCAAGTCCAAAAAAAAATTCCACACTATAAAGTTTTGAATTGTGCCACCATGCATATGAACTCACAAGAGGTCTAGTAAAAAATAAGCACACATTTTTTATCTGAACTCATCTATACACTTTATTTCTTTAGTGAACTTTTTACCAATGATTTTAGGAGCTTTTGGGGCTTTTTGTTAACTTATAACCATATCCACAGTTCTAATACTTCGGGTTTGATTTTAAAATGATGATTGTAAAATTTTAAAATTGAGAAGCATGATATATTTTAAAACCGACAGCCTGACATGCACCAAATGAATTTTTTTTGTTAATGATAAAATTCAACTATCATGTTTTGTTTAGTTGAGAAGCATGAAAAAATTAGGTGAAAATAGGCGAAAATTGAATCAAAGAAAAATATCCATCTATGTAACAACATCATTTTGGTATATACTAAAATAAATGGCTAAATGCAGTAGTTCACACTTCACAGAAGTATGTGAAACACAAATACTTCGAAATTTCATACTGAAGGAAAAGTACAACACAACATGGCTTAAAGAAACTTGAACAAAGTTCTATGAATTATTTGATGACCTGGTTCGGGAAAATATATTAACATTATAGTTAAAAAGATTACTTGTATTTAAGTTTTTGCATAAAAATGAAAATTATGAGATTAGAAACTATCATTCATAAGGTTTCTAACCCAAATATAGATACATTTTTACTTACTGACCTTATAACCTTTACCCAAACTAATTAGCAACCATATTATTCCCAAATAGAAAATGATTCCAAGTACTAAAAATACGCTCGCAAAGTTTTTATTAGTCATGGCTCATGGTAAAGGCAAATAAAAAAGTAAATCTTGTAATGTGTATATCATTAATTGATAGGAACAATACATTATTATAAAAGAAGTTGTGTACATAATGATGAAATAAATGAAAGTCAAGTTGGAATTTTGTGGAACACGTGAAATGTGAAGTCCTAGCCTTCAAATGGAGAATATGATGAATACATATGAACATAGTTATTTGTTCACAAACACTCTGCACCACTATATTGTGTTAGTCAAAGTAGCAGTGTAT